CGGCGCACCACTTGCGCCACCCGCCACGCCAGGGTCTCTGGAGCTGTGGGTGCCACCGCAATGGACACCCTGACAGTCCTATCATTGAACTCACACTGTGTTCGAACTGTAGGAGAACCGTTCCACACATGTTGGAACACATGCCTTTGACATGTTTAACACATGCTTCATCCATGTGTTAGGCATCTGGAAATGATCTGGCAGTATGCTTCCTCTCCGTTGACCGTCCCCCGTAGCTCTGGAGCCCCCCCCGCGAGAAACGGGGGCGCGGCGAGCGAGGGGCGGACGGCCTGCCGGCGCAGCAGGTCCGCCCGAGCCCCCCCCGCGCGCGCTCTCCCGCTCGAGCGCGGCCCTCGCCCCCTGGGGCGGGCCCGGGGAGCGAGCGAGCGAGACCGGCGGTGGAGCCTGTCCTAAGGGCGCCCCAGTGGGGCGGGCCCGGGAGCGAGCGAGACCGGCGGTGGAGCCTGTCCCAAGGGCGCCACTCCCTCTCTCTCTCTCTCTCTCTCTCTCTCTCTTGGGGCGCACAGGGGCACACTGATACCATATGTCCTCCTTGGAGGCGCGCGTCCGACCCGAGCATGTAGTATATACCCATATTGTAGCATATCGATTCCCGAGCGGTGTGGCCAGAAAGGGCCCGCCACGACGCATATACTAGAAGATTTTTCAGTGCGCGCGTCGCCCCCGGGGGGGGGGGGGGGCGACGCACATATAGTGTAAGTATGTCGGGGTAACGCCGATCTCTCTCTCTCTCTCTCTGTGACGGCGATGCCCCCCGGCGCGGTTCTCGGTCGGCGATCCTGGCCGTCCGGGCGGAGGGGAGGACGAGGGGGACAGGGGGGGGGGGGCCGGAGGCGGGGCCGAGGGAGGAGGGGAAGAGGCCAGTGGCCAGGATGCGGCCTGCGCCTCAGGGAAGCCCCAACGCTGGTCGGCAAACTCTTGCTCGGCCTCTGCCCCCGCGGCAGACGCAGAGGCCTGGGGGGGTCGTGACCCGGGGCCCCCTCTAGATCAACTTCGGCCTCGTCACCGCTGGAATCGGCGTCGAAAAAAAACGATGGCACTCGGGATCAACTCTGGCCCCGGCCTAGCGCTGCCTGAGCTCAGCAGCCCCAGCGGCGAGGGTCGCACGAAGACGCTGGCGCGCCCGAATCCTCGTGAGCACTGTGGTCACGCACGCCGCCCCCGTCGACGCGGAGGCGCTGGCGCGGGCCCCGCAGAATGAACAGGGCCACAGCCGCTGTGGCGGAGCGACGGAAGCGCGAAAGGTACCCGAGGGCATTCGGTTTGGTGCCGTCTGCCCTGGAGACTGCAGGCCGGCCGGGAGCCGCAGCCCGCGCACTGCTGCGGCGCTTGGCGCCGACGGACCCGACCCAGCGGACCAAAGTGATTGGCGGCCTCTGGCAGTCGCTCGGGGTCCGGGTCCAACGGTCCAACGCCTTGCGCGTGCTTGATCTCATGGGCCACTGAGTCAGCCAATTAACTCACCTCTTCTCCCTCCCCCTTCCTTCTTCCCTTTTGAATGCGCTGTGCGTTTTAGGATGATACAAGTGGCCGTTTAGGCCACAGAGGTTCTGCGCACAGCGCCCTTGCCCCTTCGCTTCTCCTCCTCCTCCTCCTCCTCCTCCTCCTCCTCCTCCTCCATCCTCCTCCTCTGCCTTTTGGTGGTAGAGCAGGGGGGGGGGGGGGGGCAAACCGGGGAACGGCCGTATTGGATCCCCCACCTGGCCCCCCCCGTGCACCCTGTCGCCCCCGCCCCTTCCCTTCCTCATGTCCCTCTTCTTCCCCGCTCCTTGCCTCCGGCGGAGGCGCGCGGCGGCCGACGGTGTGGTCTGGTGGCGCACACCGTGCGGCCGCGGCCCCCGTCTCCTCCACCTTCGGTTCCTCCCTGCTCCCTGACTGCCCTTCCCTTCCCTGCTGCTTCGTTTTGAAGGGCTGCGCCCTGTCGCCAGCACCGAGGCGGAAGGTCGCCCTCGACTCCTCCTGGGTACAACAATTACCCTGGCGAAGGACCCAACCATATGCAGTTAGGAGTAACGCGTTGTGGGTGCCGCTTTCGGTGGAGCTCCCCATAGGGGCCACGAAGCGCTGTACTGGGTGGTGGCAAGCGCACGCGGGAAGGCCACTGGAGCTCCCTACGGAGCTACAAAACGCTGTACTGCCTGGTGGACGACGCATGCGGGCGGTCCCACTAGGGCCTTTCGGTGGAGCTCCCTATGGGGCCACGAAGCGCTGTACGGGGTGGTGGCAAGCGCATGCGGGCGGTCCGACTGGGTCCAGCGGTGTAGTTCCCTATGGGGCCGCGAAGCGCTGTGCTGGCGGTGGCTGACGCATGCGGGCGGTGCCACTGGGACCATCGGTGGAGCCCCCATATTGGACCACGAAGCGCTGTGCTGGGTGGTGGCTGACGCATGCGGGCGGTCCCACTGAGACCTGCGGTGGAGCCCTCTATGGGACCACGAAACGCTGTACTGGTTGGTGGCTGACGCATGCGGGCGGTGCCACTAGGGCCGTCGGTGGAGCTCCCTATGGGGCCACGAAGCGCTGTGCGGGGTGGTGGCCGACGCATGCGGGCGGTTCCACTGGGACCACCGGTGGGGCTCCATATGGGGCCACGAAACGCTGTACTCGGTGGTGGCTGACGCATGCGGGCGGTGCCACTGGGACCGTCGGTGGGGCTCCCTATGGGGCCACGAAGCGCTTCACGGGGTGGTGGCTGACGCACGCGGGCGGTCTCACTGGGGCCATCCGTGGAGCCCCCTTTGATGGTGCCAAAAAGCGCTGTGCTGGTGGTGGCTGACGCATGCGGGCGGCCCCACAGGGACCTGCGGTGGAGCTCCCTATGTGACCACGAAGCGCTGTACTCGGTGGTGGCTGACGCATGCGGGCGGTGCCACTGGGGCCGTCGGTGGAGCTCCCTATGGGGCTACGAAGCGCTGTGCTGGTGGTGGCTGACGCATGCGGGCGGTGCCACTGGGACCTTCGGTGGGGCTCCATATTTGGCCACGAAACGCTGTACTCGGTGGTGGCTAACGCATGCGGGCGGTCCTACAGGGACCTGCGGTGAAGCTCCTATGGGGCCACGAAGCGCTGTACTCGGTGGTGGCTGACGCATGCGGGCGGTGCCACTGGGGCCGTAGGTGGGGCTCCCTATGGGGCACGAAACGCCGTGCTGGTGGTGGCTGACGCATGCGGGCGGTCCCACTGGGGCCGTCGGTGGAGCTCCCCATGGGGCCACGAAGCGCTGTACTGGGTGGGTGAAACGCAGGGAGGAAGGAGGAGGGGTAGGAGGGGAAGAGGAGCAGGAGGGAGGAAGGAAGGAGGGAAGAAGCGAACGCGGGGACCGGCACTTCAAAACGAGGACCCAACACCACAGGACGGTTGGGAATAAGCTTCGCATGGGCGCACCCTTCCTCTTTGGCGCGTCCAGGACTGCGGGCCGATACGCATTGGCCTGGTGGGGGGGAGGAGGACGAGGAGGAGGAGGAGGAGGAGGAGGAGGAGGAGGAGGAGGAGGAGGAGGAGGACAACGAGGAGGACGAGGACGAGGACGAGGACGAGGAGGAGGACGAGGAGGAGGAGGAGGACGAGGAGGAGGAGGAGGAGGACGAGGACGAGGAGGAGGAGGAGGAGGAGGAGGAGGAGGAGGAGGAGGAGGAGGGAGACGACGAGGACGAGGACGAGCTGGCACTACTCGTCCGCATCCCGACGGCAGCGTCCCGCCTGCCACGCCCTGCAGAGGGAGGTCTTGGTCAGGTCGGGGCCGGCCTGCAGCTCCTCCAGGCCTTGGGGGCGGGCCCCCGATGGCAGGACGAGGAATTTTTGGAACTGCAATCTGATTCGCCGAGGGGGCGGTCAGCTTGGTGCGGCATTCGCTAGCTGCTGGCAGAAACACGCGGTACCTAGCAACAGGGGCGCCAAGGTGTAAATGCTCCGCCCGTCCTGCGGGGAGGGAGAGAGGGCGGGGGGAGGTCGGCGGCGACGACAAGGGCGCACAGCCCTGGGAGCCTCGCCGAACATATGGATCAGCGGCACCCCTGGATGCATGCATTGCTCCCCCCTGGGCTATTCGCCCCGATCGCCGCCTCACGAGAGGGAGGGGAGGGGAAGCTGCCTTTAGCGCACGAAGGGGCGGCGCCAGGGGGGGAGGGGGGGGCTTCTAAGAAGGCAGGGAGGGCCTTCTTAGAAGGCCATCCACCTCGCGTTCGTCCTTGCGCGCACCGCCAATGAGAGGCAACGATATGGAGGGGACTGGCATGACCTGTAATCGGCGATGCATCGTCGATAGATCGGCGATAGGCCGATAGGCCCCCGATAGCGGAACAGCGGAACCCACCTTCCTGGGCGGGCCGGGGCGATCGGGCCCCTATCGGCGATCAGTTGGCGATTGGGGGTCGATGCGTCCCCCTCTATACCTGTCCCCCCGCCCCATCGCTGCCCCCGAAGAGGGGTGAAGGCCAGGTGCAGGGGGGAATGGTCACCTTGGGTCGCGTCGACCCCTCCCCCTCCCGGCCACGGCCCCGGTCCCGATCGATCGGCGGGCCGCGGGCCCTGGCAGGTCGGCCACGGCGCGGGAGGAGCAACGGCAGGACGAGGGTGTCGGGCACACGCCAGCATGGATCAGGGATCCGTGGATCTGGCGCGTCGGATCGGGGAAGGCACCCCCTGCCGCCCGATTCGGCGACGGAGCGCGACCCGTCGCTCATCCGCGTGCCCAAATCCATGGTTGCGCTTGCTCCAGGGCGCGAGGTCTTCTCGGCGCGGGGCCGTGCGCAAACTCGCAGGCGTCCCCCCGGCTGCAGCCGGTCTCGTAGAACTTGCACAGCTGGGACTTGAGGAACTGCGCGCGGAAGCGCTCGTCGCGGCGGTCTGGGGGGTTCGGGGCCGTCAGGGTGGCCTGCGCGCCATCGGAGGAGAGCCACGGGTAAGGCTGCTGCTCGCCTCCGGGCAGGGCGCCGTAGCTCCCTTCGAAGTCGCGCATGTGGCCGAGAATCGTTCCAGAACTCGCCGGGCCACCCCCCCGGCTGGGTGGTCGAACTAGGGCGGGATCTCCATCTCCTCCCCCTCGTGCCCCATCGCCTTTTCTTTGCTCCTTCAACCCTGTTCCATCAGCCTACATCCCGCTCCCCCCTTTTTACTGTCCTCCTCCTCCTCTTCGTCGTCGTCCTCCTCCTCTTCCTCCTCCTTCTCCTCCTTTTTCTCCTCCTTCCTTCCTTCTCTCCCACACTCCCTCCTCCTCCCTCTTCCCCCTTTTTCCTGCGAGCTATGCCATGCCTCGTCGTCGTCGTCGTCCTGTTCCTCCTCTTCCTCCTCCCGAAAGTCTGGCACGAGCTTTTTACGAGAAAACGAACGGTAGTTGCAGGGTTGAAGCGGGTACGCCGGGAACGCGTAGCATGCGTGACACCTCAGCCCTTCTACGCTGCATCTCCTATCAGGCACAGGGGCCTAAGAATGAACGCCCCCCCATCGACCGAGCTTCGGTTTACAGAAGTGCCAGCGGCAATAATCATCACATGAGGGTGATAGCCCAGCATGCATGCCATAAGATCCACAACGCAACTTTATTGAAAAAGGTAACTCGTCCAAAAATCATGACCGGCGCAGGCGCGAACGTGCAAGGGCCTCCTAAGCGTTTTTATGTCGCAGCGCGGCAGAGGCAGTCCGCCCCCGCGCTCGGGCAAGCGGGGAAGCGGCATCGGGGCCTCCTATCTTGCATGCGTGGCATGAGTTTTTAAACCGTTCAGGCAAGCGCCTCGATCTCAACTGGTCCTGAACTGTAATCCCCGGCTAAGCGGCTCGCCATGAGAACGCGGATGTTGATTGAGCTAGCAATCCGTAGCTGGTGCTAGCTCATGTATTCCGTTAGCAAAGTGTCCGCTTGTACCTCGCAAATGCATGGACATGGTGTCCCTGCTCACACATTTACGTAGTTACAACGTCTGCAACGTGTTCATGAGCCCCATACTTTAATCGCTCTGCTGTTTCCTCGTCTCACCTTCTCTTGTAACCATAACTGGCAGACTTCGATGTGTCTGAGTTTTCCCAACCCGCGTCTGCTCGCAGTGGCAACGGCTGCACTTGCATCGACCTTCAGCAAGATAACACAATCAATATCGAAGTCCTTGGGAGACCCCCACAATCCTAACGCTTCTGAGGCGCCAAAGACCATTCCGCAATACTCCACTTATCCAGATGGTCGTGCCGCTGCAATCTGGGTCGAACTCCGCGACTTCTATCAAGTGTGATTCCCACAGAACCGTTCCTACACTTATCGATGCAAGTGTCTTTTTCCATCCTGCACAATCAGCGCCTGTCCATACAGTTAACTCCATAGGACGTTCTTGATGCGAGCATTGATGCCCACATATGTTGCGATGTATGGCATGATTGCCAAATGTTGTGAGACTTTGTCGTCGGGTTGGGGCAAACATAGACTGCGCGAGCTCCTTGACCGCAAACTGTATGTCCGAACGACCCTGTGCTAGAGAATTTGACCTGGCCACTAAAAGCGGGGTGCCTCTGAACCTCGTGACTTGGCAGAGGTGCCCCTTCTCCCTCTTCGCAAGGCTGCTCTTCACCAGGCATCTCACATCTCACTTTGTACTGATCCAGATCTAAGCTTTTGACGAAATTTCAGCATGCCCTTGCTCCGCATCATTCCATCACCCATCCCAGCTCCACTCCACATTGCGGCTAAGGACCCTGATTGACTTGAAATATTTTGGACCTGGCCCGAGTCTGCCCCACATTAACTTCGAATGTCAATCTAGCGTCTCCTTCGAACCACTCAAGATCATCATCGCTACGCAATCCAGTAAAGTCGCCAACGCGCACAATTGACCAGATTCGCCGTGCCTTATGTTTATACATATAAACAACAAAAACATGGCGGCGCCTTCCCGCTGTCGAAACCAAAATCATGTCCAAAACCCATGCAACAAGATTCCCGGTTACTGGCAGCGCCCCGACTGGCGTGCGTTGACTTCAACAGTCTCCCACGCATAACCGGTCCACAATCTAGCCCCCTGAAAATGTTCTTGTTGGCTTCGGCGCAAAAGTACGCCCGCATAACGTCCATTAACTCCAGCTTGAATCCTTTCTCGCACCCCCCTCGGTTATGCCATGCAAAATCCCACCGGCCCTCTGGGCGCAGGTGGTCTAACGATGTCTTTCTTTCCCATTCCGACACCCCTCCTCCCCTTCGGGGAGGGGCCTGCCCCCCCCAAAGGGGCTCGGGCGGGGGGCTTCGCGAGGTGTCAGAGGGTCTTTTTTCGCCCAAGAGAGCCACGGATGATCCCCATGATCGCCGAAGATAGCCCAACGCGGCTCAGGATAGCGAACGGCGCGCCTCCAAGAGGCCCCGAGAGCGCCGCGAGAAGGTTTCAGTTGCTTGCGGCGACTCCTCGGGGCCTCCCCGAGAGGCCAAATGCCCCCGAAAACACGAGAAAAATCAGCGATTATCCTCTTATCGCTTTTTCGCTTCCGATGCGCTTGCGAGGCCTCAGGATGGCTCTAAGACGGCCCGCGCGAGCTCCAGGGGGGGCCCGAGATGCCCCCGAGACTGCCCCAAGAGCACCCAAGATCGCCCCAGAGGGCCTCGAGAGGCCATTTCGACGGCCCCGGAAAGGGGAGGGATCGAGGGCCCCCCTGCCTTTGATCGACGGCGGTCTTGCGGGGCGTGATCCTGTGGGACGTTCTTCCCTGCAGGGGACCATTGCCCTGGGGCGCGGTCACCCTACGCCACGAGGGCTGGGGCTGGGTGGCTGACCGCGGCACTCAACCCACGGGGTTGCCCTACCCAATGAAAGAAAGGCCGGGCGGTCACGCGGGGGAGGCGGCCGCGGGGTTCTCCGCCGCCGCCGAGCTCACCCAGCTCATGGGGAGGTGGCCAAAGTGTCGCCGACAGGCGCCGCGTGGTCACTGCCTGTAATTCGGCGCGCGCCGGGTGACTTCCCGGCGCCCATCGGCGCCGGCCGCGCTGGCGGCGGCAGCTTCGTTCTGTGCTATCGACGCACGGCGGGCCGGGAGCTGTTGGAGCTGATCGAGGTCCCCTCGCATAATCCATTGCGACACGGAGTAATTCGCGGAGTGGTGGGTTAATTCGACTCAGCTGGGTGGCCGCGCGTGCCCGGGGGCCCATCTGACCCGCAGTCATCATTCCCCGCGCGCGCAGTCGCCAGCATTGCATGCCAGCCCGCCGAGCGAGCTGCGAAGAGACGGTCTCCAATATGGCCCCAGGGGGCGCTCCACAGCTCCCAAGAGGGCCCCAGGATAGCCTTGAGAGAGCCTCGAGAGGGCCCCACGAGGGCGCCGAGGCGCCCCGGAAGAGCCCCAGGAGGACCCGCAGATCCCCCCGAAAGCCCCGAGAGGGCCCCAAGATGCCCCCAAAAAGCTCCGGGCACTGGCGATGGCCCGAAGAGGCCCTCCCAAACCACCCCGCTGCTCCCCGAGATCTCTCTTGCCCGCTCTGGTTGCCCGCTTTGCTTCGCCACGTGTGTCTCTTCGCCCCTTGTCCCGTCCGCTATGATGGGCAGCGCTCCTTAATGGGCTGGTGGGGACTCGCGAAGGATAAACAGCTGCAGCTTTCGAGCCTCCAATGGAGGGGTGGCTGCACATGTTTTCTTCTTTGGGGAATTGCATGTAACTTGCTGGGCCACCGGCCAGGATCGACGTCCTGGATTGGCCTCGTCGCCCCGGTGCATCTCAATCCACCACCGAGCTGTGGAGGCTTTGCCAGCTACAGCCCAACAGTCCTCCTCATATACTTTATCATGGACCTCGTGCTTCCTAATTTGTTCCACTTCTCCTCTAGCCGCCCATGTGGTCTCTGGATCGAGCTCGCTACCAGATCTTTCGTCCTAAACCCGTACTTGACTGGCTTCAAGATGAGTCGCGCTGTCCTCTCTGGTGACTGGCTGTACTTCGTCGACGCATCCAAATGGCTCGCGCGTTCCTGAAATTCTCAATAAGCCCTGGCGTCGGCGCGCTCCAATCCACTGATGTGGCTGGATGTGTCGTGCAACCTGGCAGGTGAATCTGGCGCCGATGTTGCGCGCTCCTCCTCTGAACTCCCCCCATCCGCCTCTGTCCCTGAATCTCGCAGACGCCCCTGTTCCACGCCGCGTCGCATGGTGCGCAGGCATGAACTCCACATTGGTCCTGATCATCCTGGCGGCATTTAGGCGAGCGGCGCCATGTTGTGTCTGGTCCATCGCTGCTCTCATCACGTCCGTGCCCGATCTTATCGAGTTCCATTATTGTCGCCTGGTTCATTCAAAACTACTTCTGAGTTGCAGGCTCTGAAAGAGCACCCCAATAGATCATCATCAGTCATCTGGTTAACCAGACCTCCAAGTATGCTCGACAGAGTCGGTCCGGCTATGCATGTGACCCCTCGTTCTGCCTCCTCTGAATAACTCAATGGCGACACTGATGTAGGAGCTGTTCGTCTTGAAGGCCATTCCGATGCAGAAGCCGTTAGTCATGGGCCGCGCGGGCATCGCGCGAGCGCCTCCTTCTCCTTTGCAACCTGCTCCAGGCCACGACAACACAGGTCGCCACCATACGCGCGCACACCTGCATGCTTCAACGTTCTCCGCATAGGCGGCGCGGCCCAGCCCGGGCCGCCCGCAGAATGTTCAAATAGAAATCTAAACCCATTGAACCCACTGTTTCACATGAAGCGCTAAATCCCATGGCCCAGCATGTTCCTGATATTTCCTCGTCCAAGTCTCATCGAGTCGAAGGCTTGCAACCTGCTGAAGGCTGCGCATATTGGGCTCGCGGTTGAACGCTGCGCTGCTATTGGTGATGTTTGCGCCTTCGCTCGCATCGCATCGCCATGGAAATCCCGCGAGTTCCCGCTTTCGCCGCGCGCATTGAAGTTCACGGCCGACCCCGGCACAAGTCCTATTTGTCCACCATGCCAGCAACTCGGGCTGGAGAGTAGACCTCCGAAACATATGGTTGCACAGATTGCTGGCCTTCGCTGCATAACCTCACT